AAAAAAAAAAAAAAAAACTAAAAAAAACTAAAATATGCTGTAGGTCAGAGCCAGCGACAAAAATAATTTGCCTAACAGCACAATTCCCCAGGCAGTAGTGTATAATAACATGGTATAAGCTACTAACAAACAAGAACCACTACGAGTTCATATAGGGTCAGTGGTTGCAATGTGCCCATGCATAGCAGCATCTATGAATAGCACTAACTATATAATTCATAGAATTAACACCATGAAATTAATGTTAGTGAATAGAATACTTATAAAGGTAAATTACTGAATTGCTAGCCCATATATTGTATCACATCTTTGTTATCGCATTTTCCAGTAATTTTGTTGCAGTATTCTTCCATTGGAATATTCACGGATTATATGGATTTGTACATACTATTAAATAATGCCATCGGCTCTACTTATTGATCCATAATTCATAGTTAGGGTTAGATTACAAATCCTTTCAACATTTGTAGGATACAAAAATGTTTACATGTTACAGTTTTAATTCTCCTCAGAATTTAATAATGCATACTACTTAACTCAACAATCCACAAGCTTGGGCCAACTCAGGTAGCATATCAAACTTGTGTTGTTTATAATCAAACTCACTGTTTGCAGAAGAAGCAGTGGTAAGCTGACATTCCATAAGAATCTGCAAGTAAAGCTTCTAAACACATAATTTTGGGCTGTACTTTTCCTCATTATATATGGGAGGAGAACAAATCCTTCTTAATGAATTAGAAATTTGAAAACGGAATACTTTATGACAGAAACACAATAACAATCTCACTATTCGCTAAGAATTGCAGTAAGCCAAAATCTTTGGTACAAGGGATGACTACAAGGACGATCTTGCAGTAGAAAAGAAATCAACATCAACATCCTCAATAAAGCCCACGCATCGCAATCATTCTGATTTTTATCAGCAACTCTCCGTCTAATAGAAAAGCCGAGAAGTCTGACGAAATTAGAAAATTAACAAACACATGAAATTAAATGAATCCATCATTTGAGCTTACAATCAGACTGTTTAGTTTCTATTTTCGACCTTCATAAAAGATACTACCCTGGCTCATACTTCAAATAGACAGAAAAAACCCTAAACCCCATTTTCAACTGTCACTGCCTGTAAAAGCTTCCAGCTTTTTCTGCGTTTACTCCCTCTCTACACTCTACAATACCACCCATGTATTAGGCGCAAATTCTAGCACAAACCATAAGTTCAGCTCCGCCAAATAACTTCAAATCACACACTCAATCGCAGGTGATACCCACCAAATGCGGCCAAGAAGGTGACAGATGGAATGAAAACACTTTTTTTTTTCTCTTCCTTCATCTATTTCATCCTATAGCTTCAACTTATAAAAAAAAAAATTAAACAGAAAATAATTAAAAGAGGCTAACCTCGTCGAGATAATCAACATCAAGATCACCGGAGTTGTCCACATTTCCAAACATGAACCCGAGCAGGCTATTTCCCCCTTCAGCCTCCTCATACTCGTCGTCTTCATCTGCCAATTAATCCAAAAAGAAATAAAGAAAAAGATATTGCCGTGCTTAGCGCGCCTTATGCAGGAACCCCTAATTTGGAGGGAGGCCAAGAAATTCGCACATACCGACGGGGGAGCCGTCATCGGCGGCGGAGGAGGAGACCGCGGCGGAACCTTCGCCTGCACCATCTGCCCACGAAGCCATGTCCCTTTGCTCTTCCCTCTTTTAGCTCGCTTGTTTTCTTCTCTGGCTCGTGTCTCGTTCCTGAACTCCATTTCTGTAGTCCCCTCTGATTTGCTTTTATAGAAACTGTGATGGTCGCAGTTGGCCAATTTATACCATTGGGCCTATTTTGTTATATAAAACTATTAAATGGGCCAGGCTTTTTTTCAATATAAACGGACCTTTATGTGTGTTACTATTTATTGTCTCTTATTATAACCGGTCCTCTTTTGGACATTCTGCCCCTTACATTTTCTTCAAAAAGTAAAAAACAAATAAAAAAAAATTGTGCGGTCGGTCGGCTGGCCAACCGGCCGCGCACAGTGGGGGTTGGCCGTCTTGGCCGGCCAACCACATGGTCGACCGCAATCGCCAGTAGGCCGCGTAATTTTTTTTTACTAATCAAAATATTATTTATTATATAAGTTATGTTAAAATTTATATAATATTATGTTATAAATTGTAATATATTATCTTAGAGTTAGAATTTAAAAATTATAATGTTGTAAATTATAATTGATTATCTTATATAACATAATAGTAATTATCTGCCAAAAAAAATACAACATTTATAATTATTATATCTACTAACAAAAATATACATTAATTAACATATTGATTTATATTTATATTTTCAAATAATACTTTTTCAGAAATGTGCCCAAGAACAAAACATCTATGTGAGGCTTCTTGGTTTTGTTGATTGAAAAGATGTTAAACGATGGTGTTGTTATTAGTAATAACACAAGTTATCACTGCTTGTTGTTTACGAAGAGCATTCATAATTAGCATATGATCATCATAATCATTATACGAAGAAGATGAAGAATTGTCAAAATTAAAATTCATTGTAGAAATGTGGGATAAAGAAATATGATACGATGTTTGAAGAGATTCAAGTGTGTGAAAGATTTAGTATATATCATGTTTTTATAGTAGTGAATTTGAATGGTGTGGTAACCTTTGCAGGGAGTGGTCATTTTCAAGTCAGAACATTGAGCAATATGAGGACCTTTGCAGAGATGATCATTTTCGGGTCAAAGCATTGAGAGATGTGAGGAACTTTGTAGTGGTAAGTCATTTTATTGTCCAAACATGGAGAAGCGTGATCACCTTTGCAAAGAGTGTTCATTTTTTGGGTGAAACCATTGGAAGATGTAGGGACTTTTGCAGTGATATGTCACTTTCAGGTCAGAACATGGAGAAGTGTGATCACCTTTGCGGAGAGAGGTCATTTCCGGGTCAGAACATTGAGAAATGTGAGGACCTTTGCAGAGAGTGATCAGTTTTTGGTCAAAACATTGAGAGATGTGGGAAAACGTTGCAGTAATAGGTCATTTTTAGAGCAAAACGTGGAGAAGCGTGATCACCTTTGCAAATAGTGATCATTTTCGAGTCAAAGCATTAATGGAAACTTTGCAGTGATAGGTCATTTTCGGGTCAATGCATGGAGAAACATGATCACCTTTGTAGAGAGTGTTCATTTTTGAGTCAAATCATTGGGAGACGTGGGGACCATTGTAGTGATATGTTATTTTTGGGTCAGAACGTGGAAAAGTGTGATCACATTTGCAGATAGTGTTCATTTTCGGGTCAGAACATTGAGAAATACGAGGTCCTTTTGCAGAGAGTGATAATTTTTTAGTCAATGCATAGAGCTTTGCAGTGATAGGTCACTTTCGGGTCAGAACATGTAGAAGTATGATCACCTTTGTAGAGAGTTACCGTTTTCGGGTCAAGCATTGAGAGATGTTGGAAACTTTATAGTGATAGGTCATTTTCGGGTCAAAACATTGAGAGATGTGGGAAACTGTTATGGATCCTTAATTTTCTGTAATTTTTGTGGTATTTATTTCTGTATTTTAATGGTGAAAAAGCATGAGGAAGGAGATGAACGATAGAGAGAGAAAGAGAGAGAGAGAGAGAGAGAGAGAGTAGAGAGAGATAGTGACCGAAGAGAGAGAAAGAATATTGTAACTGAATTCTGATTGCTTTTCATTTTTTGTTTCCCAATACATATACTAAGTTGGCCCACATGCCATTTCCCTTACTCAATTACAATTGATAAAAAGCTTAACAATTTCTATTATTAAATAAAGCTTAATACTAGCTCAAGTCAATGATCCAACTAGCTTTGTTGACTCTTGACCCTTGCCACGTCAGCATCATCGTTTTTGGATAAGATCTCGCCACGTGTCCACATTCTTGCTTTATCATAGCTTGAGTCATCTTCCCCTACATTTTCCCCTTTTTCAATTTCTGTTTTGCCCGTAACCTTAATTTCTCCCATTTCTCCGTCATCTCGTTCAATTTGTCCTGTGACCACAACAATTCCCGTCGGATCTGAAGATCCTTGTCTGCAATGATTGAAAGTTGGAAACTTTTTGCGTATGTAGCTCAAATCCTCCCAGGAGGTGGAATATCGACCAACCCCAGCTCAGCGAACCATAATTTGTTCCACCTGCTCTTGTCCCCTTCGAATCTGCCGACGATCCATTACCTCTAAAGGCTCCACCTTAAAGTTGCCTTCGTCGTCAGTGGGAGGTAACGCTTCATCAGGTATCTTTTTTTTCCCAATGCATTTCTTAAGTAAGGACACATGAAAAACTGGGTGGATCTTTGATCCTTCTGGTAGTTGCAAACGATAGGCTACTGGTACTACCTTTTCTAAGATTTCATAAGGCCCGTACTACCTGGCAGATAGCTTGATATTTTTGCGTAGGTAGACCGAGTTTTGCCTAAAAGGCTGCAGCTTCAAATACACAAAATCTCCAATTTCAAACACCCTCTCTTGCATGTGCTTATCGGCATATTATTTCATCCTTGCTTGTGAATGTATCAGATTTCCTTTGATTTCTTGGATTAGTTGCTGCCTGTAGTGTAGTAAATCGTTCACCTCTTCATTTTGTGCTCCCAAGTAAGGGTCCAGGGTTAAGTTGGTGGGTTGGTATCCATACAAGGACTTGAATGGGGTCATCTTCAAGCTAGTTTGGTAGTTAGTGTTGTACCAATACTCTGCTAAAGATAACCATTTTCCCCACTTCCTTGGGTGACAATGTGTCATGCACCTCAGGTAGCTTTCCAAACATTGGTTTACCCTTTCTGTTTGCCCATCGCTTTAAGGGTGATAAGCAGAACTCATATCTAGAGTAGTACCCATGAGCTTAAATAGTTCCTTCCAAAAGGTGCTGGTGAATACTTTGTCTCTATCAGAGACTATGCTCACTGGCTGGCCATGTAGTTTATAAATATGGTCCATGAACAACTGAGCCACTGACTGGGCTGTATAGGGATGAGACAAAGCCAAAAAGTGAGCATACTTAGTTAGCATATCAACCACCACTAGTATGACAGTCTTTCCCCCTGAATTGGGCAGCCCTTCAATAAAGTCCATAGAAATATGGCTCCAAGCTTGCTCAAGAATGGGTAATGGTTGTAAGAGG